CTCACTCGGAGGCATAAGGAGCGTACTCCTCGGTTTCAAGGAGGGCCAAGGTCTCGGAGTAGATGATGCTTGCATCAGGATCATCAATGGCACCATGACCACAGATCAAAAGTTGTGGGCACCGGCTGGCAGGGAGGACCATATCGAGTTTGCGGCGGAGCTTGCAGAAAGAGTCTATCCACCAATTAGATACTATACTTTTTTTATCCTATAGACATACCGATGACAACTGGAATACTATAGCGGTGTCAGACTTGTCATGAAATTAAAGTGAATAGACTCACCCCTTGGCGGGGTCGAAACGGGCGACTTGGACGATGTATTCACGCGCAGGCCACATCAACTTGCTCATGCGAATTTCCGAGCAAAGGGTTCGGAAGATACCCATGTAGTATTGGATGTCCCAGTAGTGCAAAGGCTATGGTATAGCAGAACCGTCAGCATCGCCACCCCTTCTCCCCCAATACAACAGCGTACCTTAGACAGTCCATCAAGCCTAAAGAACCAGAAGAAGGGAAGAGTAGGTGGTCAGTTATTCCGGTGGCAGAGCAGAGAGGGCGCGAATTGAAAAAAAAAAACTAAACAGGACGCACCAATCGGTGGTGGCCGGCAATAAGCCGACAGTTTCTAAGGGTACCGTGTCGGGAATAAACTTGTCCACTGGGTGGGAGATGAACATGTCCGCATGTTGAATTCTGCTCCAGAGGTAATCCCACACTTCGGCTTGAGGAGAGCCTTCTATGTGGATGAGGTCGCTGCGGACCTCAATGTGGGATCGATAGATAATCGGGACTTCGGGGCGCGCCTTGCGAATAAGAGGGATCAGACCTGGCATCTGTGGGTCGTCGATAAAGATAACATCGGCACCTCCGGCAGCCTAGAATAAATTTCCAGTCAGTTATCCCCTCCAGAGTCACGTAATAGTATACCGTGATCACGTACCAATGGACCACCCTCAGAGAGCCAGTAGCGCTGGGCATTATAGTTGATCCATTGAGTGAATTGTTCCTGTTGCGCGAGGGTCAACCGCAGAGACGGATCGGCGACACCCTGAAGAATATCTGATTCGGGCGATCAGGCTAGATCCGGCGCATCAGAATAGAAATGTGGACTTACTGTGGTTGTTCTTTGTTGTCCTGAATACAGCGGGAGAAGGACTGGGAATGTACCATTTGGCATCTACGCCGAGGAGGTGCATCAACCTGATAAGAGCATGACGCATCAACGCCACACCTCCACCCTGGGGTGTGGAGCTGAAGAAGGCAATTTTGATCTTCTTCTCGCGCAATATCTTTGCATAATGGAGTACGGCCTTGAATGTAGGTTCACGGACGGTCGAGCGATAGTCTTCAATGCTATCGACGATACGAATGCGCCCAGCCGCATCAGGTTCGACCTCGTTCCTGGATGAGAAAAGGGAACAAGTCATTAAGTCTGAACAGCGCTCACGACTCTTGCACTATCTCACCTGAATCCGATTGACAAACGTGGGTTGTGACCAGAGGGACCAAAGTAGAGAACCGCTTTTCTGACGGCAGAATCAGCTTGTTCATCTGCAGGACGAACAGGCGCAGAAGCGTCTGCAGCTTGGGTCTGGGCAGTTCCAGCCGCAACGGAAAGAATATTGCTCGGGGGCGCTTGGATTTGTTGAGCAGCACCCTCTCCACCTGGTTGAGGGGTAAGAACACCCGTAGATTGAATTGGGAACCCTTGTGCATCGAGCTTCGCGAGAGGGCGCCCTGGCGTCAGGCGTTGAGTGGATCGGACGTGGAAGACGAGGGGGACAATGTCCAAGTCGCGCCAGAGGCGACCGCAAATATTTGGAGAAAGCTCAACGAGACGAGAAGTGACACCAGCACCAACAAACTTCATGAGATGCTCTGTAAATAAACGTGTCAGTCATGTCTAGTCTCGAGCGTCGCCGAATCCAAAAATGGGAACAAAGCAAGGAATTCGGTAGCCACAAAAGTGGCGATAGGAAACAAGACATACCTTTGGAGAAATCCTTGATAGTTTGGACGATAAAGTCTGCGATCGCTGTAGGATTTGGCTCACAGTTTGGGAAACGGATGTGCTTGATGGAGAAATCGATAGAGTAGGTGGCATCGTGAATACTCAGACCGACTTCGAGCATCGACTTGTCGGGAGCGAGATTTCCAGCGATACCAAGGTACATGGGCTATGTGAGATGCGTGATCAGCCATCTGCTCGCTGCCATCGACGACGATAACGAGAAAAGTGGGGTTCGAAGTTGGCTCAGGGCCGCGATGGGGGGTGATGGGGGAGAGACATACGGTGAGAGTGATCCATGCTGGTGCCTTTTTGGCTTGAGGATTCTCAACGCCAGAAAGACGACGCTTGATCTGCTCAGTGGGAGGTCTGGACACGAAATCCTCCTCGCCCTCGGAGTGGAATCCGGTGTCGACGGCATGTTCCTTATCAGCCTCGTCAGCCTTGGTGAAAGGAGTAAGACCTGCAATCCTAGGCATTTTTTGTAATCTGATCTGTTCTACGCTGGATGGATTCTAAAGAAGAGGTCGAGGTCTAAGAGACGACACCCTAAACGAGTCTAGAGGTGGAGCTGCCACAGGGACTGAACTTTGCTGCTGCCTCTCCCCTCCCGACTCTTTTATACCCAGTCACGTCTCTCTTCAAACACGGAACTTGTTCTACACTTCGCAGTATCGAGGGGAGCTGGACCGTCCCGAGTCAAGCAACCCATCAAACGAGGTGGACGGAGATTGTGAGCGAATAGGTGGCAAGTGACCCAGATCAACCAACCGTATTCAGCGAAATCGTCAGATTGGAAGAAGGGAGGAATCTCTGTCCACATCCTGGATGACAGATGAATGCAACTTTCGGTGGAAGATTTCGTTTTCAGGGACCATCCCCACAAAAGTTGCCTGGCACCCCACAAAAACTCGACGAGATCATATACGTGGAAGGTACCCCCATCCGTCACCACCATAGTCTCGATTGTAGATTAGCATAGTCGCGCCGTATCCGGCCCTGAACCTGTATTATGCGGAGCTGTCGAAAGAACCATTAGCCTTTACGAATGACCTAATGATGGGTTCTGTGCATACCACGCCGTATATGAGACAGTTAGAAACACGAGACGTTTTCCTTTTTGTGATGCTTGACGACGAAAAGATCGGCCGAGCTGAGAGATTTCCAGTGGCGGGTTAGCACTAGCGAGCGTGCCGTACAGTCTGTCGCCAACATCGCAGAATAGTCTTGCTTTGGATGTCGAGCAATAGTCGAGTCGTCGGCTGACAAGCGGGTAAGAGAGAGATCACGGGGTGTTTCGACACTCAGAGTCTAAGCCTTATCTCGACCAGAAGCGTGTGGCGGGCCTCATTGATACCACGCGAAGTGAATTGTTCCTGTTGCGCGAGGGTCAACCGCAGAGACGGATCGGCGACACCCTGAAGAATATCT